CCTTCCCTCTCGCCCCTCTCCCTTCCCCCTCTCCCCTCTCCCCCTCTCCGCCTCCTCCCCTCTCTCCTCTCTCCCTCTCTCCCTCTCTCCCCTCTCCCTCTCTCCCCCTCTCCCCCTCTCCCCTCTCCCCTCCCCCTCTCCCCCTCTCCCCTCTCACCCTCTCCCCCTCTCCCCCTTCCCCGTCTCCCCCTCTCCCCCTCTCCTCTTCCCTCTCCCTCGTCCCCCTCTCCCCCTCTCCCCTCTCTCCCTCTCTCCCTCTCCCCCTCTCTCCTCTCCCCTCTCTTCTCTCTCCCCTCTCTCCCTCTCCCCTCTCTCCCTCTCTAGCCCCCTCTCTCCCTCTCCCCTCTCTCCCTCTCCCCTCTCTCCTCTCCCCTCTCCCTCGTCCCGCCTCTCCTCCCCCTCTCTCCCCCTCTCTTCCCCTCTTTTCCCCCTCTCCCCCCTCTCTCCCCCTCTCTAACAGGCCACGTTCCTTCATATCACAGTAGAGTCGGAAGCGCTAGTGGCAGGCTACAGTTGATTGTGCTTCGCGTTTCGGAGGTGTGCTTCCGCCTCTCTCCCACTGCTCTCTCCCCTCTCTCGCCCCTCCTTCCCTCTCCCCTCTCTTCCCTCTCCACCCCTCTCTTCCCTCTTCCCCCCTCTCTTCCCTCTCCCCCTCTCCTTCCTCTCCCTCTCTTCCTCTCCCCTCTCTTCCCTCTCACCCTCTCCCCCTCTCCCTCCCCTCATACTTTAACTAACTCTTTCGATACAAGGAATTCCCATTCAGTTGAATAACATTTACGTGATACATACTTAAACATCAAATGTTTCAAAATAAATATATCAATATACTGAAGTAAATTGTACGTAATAATGATTTCTTCAGTACATTTCTTACAATTCATTACGTCCAATTTTCTTCAGTATTTTTGGTTCATGATTAAAACAGCTGAATTTACTGTGGTTACTATAAGCCCATTGTTTCCAGTGTTTTATTCCATGTTATTGTTTTGCCTGGTACGTACCTGGAATAAAACACTGGAAACAATGGCTTATGTACCACAGTAATCAGCTGTTTTTAATCATGAACAAAATCACAATTGTGGGCTGCTGACGAACCCATGACAGAAAGATGTGAACAATAAACACAGTTTAAAATAAAGTTAGCCGGTTACATTTTGTTAATTTTATTCTACTTTTAGAGAAACACAGAAAATTGAAAGTGAAAAAAAAATCTGTAAATGGATCTTTAGTATTGTGATATGGACCAGAATCTTCGTGACAGGAAAACAAACGAAGAAGCCTCCCTTTACCAAAGAAAAGGGAAAGGAATATATTACACTGTGCAGTAAACAAAAAATAAACGAAACGAAAAGCAAAATGGCCTGAACTCATTGAGTGGTGGCCAGAAAACTAAAATGGAAGTAGGGAAGTTCACGTCCGCCAGGAATTGACACAGCGTCACCACCTTCTTGGGATCTACGGTCGGAAAAGAAGCTTAAGAATGACAGAAGACAACGTAAAGCAGTGAGATACAGCGTACAGCAGAGTCAAAATGTAATTACAGTTACTTAGCGACAGCTTTTGTGAAGATCGAAAGAAGAAGAAAGGAATATAAGTACAGAATTAGTCTTCAAAACTTATGTTATACAGTTATTAATAACAGTAATCACATACATTAATACAGTTATTAATGAAAAAAACTATCTGTGAAAACACATAATTAGGGCTCCGTGTTTGAGATTCGTAGTTTTGTAGTGTGTGTTAGGAATAAAGGAAAATTGAGTAAGGTACTGTAACTATAAAGAGAGTGAAATAGATGAGTTGTGGTAAGAACAAATTACAAAAATGAAAGAACACAATACAGGTTTTTAACATTCAAATGTTTTAAAAATGGTTTCTAAGATAAACAGTGGCGTATCTTGCTTAATTGTAATCACTGTGTAAAGAAAAAAATTATGTATCGCCTCTCTGGACCCTGGTTCTTGGTCCCTATTGAGGGTTTGCGAAATATCGTTTTTCGTGATTAGGAAAGCATCAAGCAGAAACTGCGGACGACGAAGTTTTTATTCATCGCCTCTGTGTTCCTCATTAGACGAGAGAGGACTGAAAAAAAAACGCGACACATAATTGACAAAGATTTATTACTTTTATGTAAGAATTAATGCGATTTGAAGAGATTGCCATTGTAACCGTGCCTGGACGAAAATAAAACGTTCTCGCTTACGACTTTTCACGTCATGCATACCTTCTGCTTTTTCACTCCGCATCTCAGAGCGCTGGTTTCAGAGAGACGTACCCGATAATTGCTTGCTACCAACCAACTTTTAAATGCGCTCCTATACGTTTGCTTAGCTCTCGCACGATCGCTAACAAAAAATTGTTGCGACTCCTCTGATTTTTAAATTAATGCGACCTCATCAGCGTCTGATGTAAAAAATTGGATTCCGGTAAATCTAACAATGGCAGTAAATTTTTCTAATTTTTTTTTGAAGCAGTTGAAGACGATTTCAATGTGTTTTGTACAAAAATAAGTGTTTGTCAATTTTGAAAAGAATTAAACGTGGCTTCTTAAACAAGATTAGACTATCTCCAAGGGGCCGGAAGTATGGTACGTATAATATTTTATTCTTACATGATTCAAAGTGTAGTGGAAGCTGAGTTTTGATCGAAGGGTGGCGCCAAATTTCAAATTCATTTGTCACACACGTATCCACTGTCTCGCATCTGGACAACACCCGTTCACCAAAAGGATTCACCATCCCATGGGAAAAAAAATTTCGATGTCGACTTGAGAGATCTTTTTTGACTTGAATGACGTGACGACACAGGCTAAAAAGGTCCCTAGTTTTGGTACGCCCATGTAATGGGTGTCGACTGGGTCGGTGTGTCGACTGGGAACGAGGAGGCGATTCGGGTGGGATGGGCACGTAAGAGACAAGCGCCTGGCACGAGAAACCGCGGAGGGGTTAACGGGGGCGGATAGCAATGGGACAGGCCACGGGTGGGCGGGCAATTAGGACGGGCTGCGGAGCATGGGGATAGATGGCAACGGGGACCAGCAGGAATGGGCAGGAGAGACGGGGACGGCAGGTATCTGCGAGAAGAGAAAAGGCAGCAAGGGAGGAGTGGCAGGCCGGACCTGGGAGAGACGAGACCACAATGGCGAGGTGGGATTGCAACTAAACGCCGCGGGGGCAGGCCCGGGCTGGGAAAGCGCGCGGGTGCGGCGCGGGCCGGGAGAGAGAGACGGCTCAGGCCCCAAGCGCGCGCCTGTCGCCGGGATTACCCGTCGGGCCGGGATTACCCTCCCCGTGGCTGTTAGCAAGCGGGGTCGGGGCCCCTCCCTCGCCTCCGGTACACAGCGGCGCGTGGGTGGGGACGGGGCGGGGCAACGGCGGATGATCACAGCGGCGGTTTGTCGGGTTGAGGAGCGTGCTCGTGGGTGGGCCAGTGGTTAAGTAGCTGGTAGCCGGGGCGCGCGGGAAGGGGCGTGGAAAGGGCGTGCGTGGAAGGGGGGCCGCGCTGCGGGCGGCACGCCGGATGCTACCGGTGAGCGGGGAGCGGGGCCAGGGAGGGGTTGGGGGCGGGAAAGGGGAACGTTTGAGGATGAGGAGCAGCGGGGGTAGGTGGCTCGATCACAGGCAAAACCCGGAGGCAGGGCCAGGGACGAGCGGAAGGCTGAGGCAGCGGCGGGACGAGATGGGCGTTGGTTGGGCGGCCTTCGGAGAGACGTAGGGGAGGGGAGGGGGCGGGGGCGGGGCGGGGCGGGGCGGGGCGGCGGGGAGGCGGGGCATTGAGAGTGACGAGTTGGAGCGGGGCGTGTCGTGTCGTGTGGGGGGGACGGGGCGGGGGCGGAGGACGAAGCGGGGGCGGGGGGGAGGAGCGGGGACGGAGCGGGGACGAGCGGGGACGGAGCGGGGGACGCGAGCGAGGACGGAGCAGGGGCGGCGGGGGGGGCGGGCGCGGGGAGGATGGATCCAGGGTGGGGCGCGGTGGAGCGAGGTGCATGGATCAACAGGCCCAGCCGGGGGCAGGGCCAGGGCCAGAAGCTGGGAAGCGGCGTGCGACCGAGGCAGATTGCGGGGCGCGTGGATGCCCTTGAAGGTCGCCCGCCCACCCGCTCGGCGCATGGCGTGACAGCGGGTGATGGTCGGGAAGACACATATGAGAGGTTCCAGCAGATAGCCATTCAGAGGTTGCAAAACCGGTTTTCCCGTATAATATGAGGCTTTCGCGTCGCGGACTCAATAATTCTAGACGTTTACGATGCTGAATAGGGCCGTGGTTCAATAGACCTTTCAAACCAATTGACCTCGCATTATCATCTCGGAAACTTTTAGTAATTTCTGTCTCAAATGGCGTTTCGGAAGGCGTTCTCCCTCCCCCTCTCCCTCTCTCTCTTTTTCTCTCTCTCTCATCTCATAATATATTCCGAGATATAATATATTATTCTGGATCGTCGTGTATTGTACCGTCTGGATATGGATTTAGATGATAAATTAAATAAGTTTAGACATATATCTGGAAACGTTCACAGGAATTTACGAAATAAAAAGTGTTAAGTTCTTTAATATTATTGCCGTTCCAGTACTTTTGTACGTAAGTGAATCAAAAGTAATATTGGAAAGAGATAAAAGTAAAATTCATGTTGTGTGCATTAAAATTTAATTTGTGTGTTCGTGTTTAATTTCGCCGAATAAGGGTACGAGGAGAAGTGGCAGACCCTACGCCCACATCATGTTTTTGCCCACATCTCAATGTACGAAATGAATATGAAGAGAGAGGAAATGCAAGAGCACGGAGGTCAGCTCGGCACGGAGAGGGTTTGTTCGAGGAAGGTAGTACAAAAGCATTCCTCTGGGTCCCACACATGAACTAACAGTATTTCTATCAGTTATTATTTCATATGTTAACTAGTACAGTATTATGATCATGGGAATTTTTCATTCAAAAAACCACATCGGAACAGGAAAAACATTGATCGATGTAAAAACAACTGCGTTAATACATAAATGTTTCTACAAAAACCTCGATGTTTTGACATCGATATCGATGTCGCTTCCCTATTTACTACATAGGGAATAGAACTTACTTGAAGGAAAATCACTTTCTGAAGCGGAGTGGATCATCGATTGTGATGCATTTTTCCCCGTTATAGGACCCATACATAGTTCAACAGTCATTTGTTTCTTGTGTAGATTTTCATTTCGTAAGGTTCCTCCAAAAATTACATCCATAAGTAATATACTGACATTATTCCAATATTCATCCTACAACACAAATTGATTAATATAAGTATAAAGAAATTATGGGAAGGTATATTGCGATAGAAAACATGATGGGTGTGTGGGAGTAGTTTAAGATTAAGTGGTGCGCCATTAAGTGAGCTCTACCTCCTGTTGACATTTTAAAGAAATTGAAATTGTAAATTACCTTAACTTAGCATCAAGAGCTATCTCACTAATGTTATGTCCAATTAAACTGTCAATCAAAATTTGAAGAGTAGTGTTTCATACAGAAGGGCTTCTGGTGCAATTAGAGATCACATACACGTGCTGTGAATGTTTACGTAGGACTAAAATGTCTTCTACTACTCTCCAGCCTTTTGAGGTATGTATATAGTTTCATTAGATAGATAGGAACTCGGAAAAATTACAAGTACATCTCTATTACCAATTTCAAATATACGCATAAATTGACGAAAAACTGAGAAGTATCAGTTCAAATGAGAGATGTCAATGTGCGACAAGTGACTGTTGATAAACAAATGCATTCACAACATTGGACAGTTGGGTGCAGATTTTAAGCCTGAGGCAAAATTACTTCTTGCCTGAATTTTGCGACATTCTTTATTTATGATGAACAGAAAGTATAGATATAAAAATATGAATTGCACATTTTTCAGAAAAAAATACAATAAAATCTATGAAACAATAGTTCATATATAAGAACTGAAATAATATTTCGTATTCAGAAAATATGGTATTTTTATTTCTGTGCTAAAACTTGTATTGACTTCTAAACAATCGAAATCAAATGTTATTATCAATACTTCAATATCAATTCTTTCAATTCTAGTGCACATGATACGTTTCGGCAGTTCTTTAGTTCTTCCATTGCCTTTTAGTTTCCATAAAAGTACTATCTACTCAAAAGAAACCCTATTATAAATTTACTGGCATATCTATGAAAAATTTTATTATAATTGTGTTACTAAAACATGACTAGGTACTGGCCATCCTAAAGCCATGACATTGTTTTCAAAAACAAGTTTAATTATATATTGTAATGTTTTGTCCATTATTATACGTATATTCGTTTGCACTACTCTCTCCATAATATTACTTCTTTTCAATATTTCATAGCACACACGGTTATGTTATCGTTTTTTACATTTATTTATGTATGGTAGCTTTATAACGTCTAGGTCATAAGCGACCCCTGTCATTATACATTGTATTTACAAACAGAGTAGTTACAATTATTACGAGAACAAAAATGTTAAAGGTAATCACATTTTCAGAATCTATAAGGTTTAATCTAACTGCAGTTCTAATACATTATTCAGCTATATAATGCTGTACAGTTGTGTAGATGGTAAGAATTTTAGTATTTTGGCACACCCGTCAGTAGAACTGAGTAATGATTGTAGGGTTCCTTCAATTTTTAGAAGTTATATTATCAGTAGCAGGGCATTCAAGAATAAGGCGGGATGGGGAAATGCTGCACCACACTTTGGGCAGAGTTCTGGATCTGATCTCTCAAATAGATGGCATAAATTGAGATTGAAATTCCCTATCCTTAGTCTAGTGATTACAACCTGTTCTGAAATCTCCTGGTATCCTCTACTCCATGATTCTGCTATTATGATTCTTGTAAACGATTTTTACAATTTTGTGTTGAAATTTTCCTCAGATTTGTTCGATATGAAATCAAATATTGTACCTGGAGAGACAGCGCGGTTTCGCGAATTACGGTGCGAGTTGTTTCAATTTTATTAACATCTGTGTCTTCCAGCTGTGTTTCTAAAGCCCATAGCAATTTTCCTCTGTAGTCAACGTGTGGGCTTTGCTGCCCTCTCTTAGAGGAAATTGGTTTGTTATTTATTGGACCGTAAAGGTAAGTGAAAGCTGGTCCAAATGTTGGCAAAAATCCTGTTAAAATACAAATAACCATCAATTAATTTAGAAACACAGGACTCAGGTTACCACAGAGAAATATGTACCTTCAGCTTCATTCTTCGAAATATGATTAAGTTCAATGGTGAAAGAGGCCCACACACCTCCACTGTAGCAAATTTGAATTTTAAATCTTTGTGCGAGAGGAGGAAACACGTCCAAAAATTTCAAGCTTTCATTCCATGTCATTTCATTTCCATCCTCATTTACATCTATGTTTATATTAGTTGTCCCCTGAAAAAAAAGAATGACCTGGTCATTCATAATAATAGTCGAGTATGTTATACATGCAATGGTGTACAGATGACAAGGTCACATATTATCAATAAATAATGTGACAAACGTTACACGAAAATATGAAATGTCGATAACTTCTATTACCAACGCAAATAAAAGGTAAAACAATTCGAAAAGGACAATTTAACTGTCTGAGTTTCGAAATATTTTTTTCGTAAACCGTTCCATAATCGAATTGACCTCTATTAATCAACTGGATATTAATTTATATGAATCTCTTTATCCTCGAAAATCGTCCAATTTTGACAAGTTTCAAAGGAAAAATTGTTTATCAAAGTCCTACTTAATATTTTACTGAAAATAAAATGTACTATAGTAAAACGTAAACCTTTTGTTTTTTCTTTACTTTAAAAACCTCAATTGTATCTGAAATTATGGAAATAAAAAAGTATAGTTGAAGAAGCGCTTTTACTGGTATCAAACTGTTGGAACATATATCTCAGCGACTGCCTAGAGCAGTTTGCGTGTAATGTGAATAGTAACAAATTGCTATATTGTAAAATACCTTTGTAATATAATAATTATCCTGAATAATAGCTACAAATACCTGCTTCATAAATAAAACCTTTACCTTCAAATCACCAAATGTAATTTTTATATAAACACCAGTGAAGTATTGTTTTCCAAATTTCTTCAGGGCACTTTCCAGCAAAGTCGCATAGGGTTGGCGAACCAAGTCCATTTTATAGATGGAAAATTGGTACACTGCTCTTTGCCTACCACTCAGAGCACTCTCGGGGATGATCAGGTTTCTAAAAATAAATTAATTAATTAATAACTTTAGATTTTGCAAATATGGAATACTACCTTAAAAACGATTTTTACAATGTAGTTTCTAGTTAGTAATGGGTTTACCTGAAAACATTAAGTGTTAAGAAAATAAATAATTTATGTTCTTAAATGGTAATAAAAAATGCGTTTAATTTTGGACATGAACACTGTTTTTCAAGATAGTCAATTCTTTACCAAATGTGACAATGATAGTTACAGGTCCCACAATCACTTCAACCTCATTTACCGCGTCATCGTCTCTCACCTAAACCTCAGATAACCAATATGTCAATCATTAACAAACAATGAAAAATATCAATACTGAGCTATTATTATTCTGAACGGCACATTTTTGCTATCACTAAATATTATAAAAAAAGTCATGTTACCCTTCTATATCATCAAAGTCATATTCTTCATTTTCTTCTACAACAGGAATTTCAATACGTTCTCCTCTAGCGGATATTTTTATGTCACATTTGACAAATCCATTTGGAGGACCACAAAAGTCCTCTGGATCAATCAAGGGAACCCACTTTCTTGACGCAGAATGACCTGCAAGAAAAGAAATCTTTATTATAAAGAGAAAGAAGGTTTTCTAAAACGAATGGATAAGAACAGATTGATCAACAAGATCTTCATCTACTTCAGGGGCAGCGCGCACTGATTTCTCCTGAACCTCCTGTGAATTACACAGGCACACAAAAAATTGTCAGACCCAAAGACTTGACACATGTTTCCCCGTGTATGTCGACGCGCTGAATCCGAATCTGAAGCCAGAATTGCTACCCCCCCCCAGTTTTTCGCAATTTAAAAAAATGGAGGGTGATGGTGCAATTTATTTATTTATTTAACGTCAATAGCAGTTACAAACATTGCGTGACGTGTTATAGGGACAAGTTAATACTGTGCACGTTTTCATAATTCTCTGATTCCTACTCTACGTCATGTACAAGTAGATTTGAGCGTTTTTGGCAAGAATTATTAAATATTCGCTCCGATGTAAGTATTATACTTACGAACTATACTTATATCGAAACGAAGGAGGTAGAGGTCTTCTGGATTTTAAGTCCTTGTGTGCAAAGTAAGTCGGGATCGTAATATGGGATCGTCAGTTTCCTGGCTAACAAAATCTGGCCACTTTGCTGAGACAGAAGGGTTAGTCATTTCTAACCAGGACGAAGTAACCTCCTCTCGCAATTACCAATGTTTGTGATTGGGGATATGAGTGATGAGGACCGCTGACGCCTTTGCAATCAAGCCGGCGAACACATAAGGAGCTGGTGCTCTGCTTCGGCATAAACAGAATACCTGAGTCGACACAACGACGTTGCTGCGATTGTCCATCGGGCCCTAGCTGCAAAGTCGGAGATTATACAGAAAGATGTCCCATACTATAAGTTCAAGCCAGATTCAGTTTTGGAGGCGAAATGGTGGAAGCTCTTGTGGAATGTTTCAGTCATCACTGATCGCAGGGCCGAATCCAACAGACCTGACATAATATGGATTGATAAGGCCTCACGGAAAGGGATTATAGTCGACATAGCAACCCCCTTAGACCGAAATATAGTTGCGCTATAGCCGAGAAGAAGCGGAGTCTGAAGTCTAGTATATGGTACAACTTGTGGAAGTCGTTTAAACAGACACTTCGCAATTTGAATTTTACGCAGCAATTACGCAGTTTGAATTTTGGAGGCTTTCCTGAAAAGTGCTTTCTTATAAAAGTGGATTGGTAATTATGCGGTGGATAGACTCAAGGATGTTTATAATGAACGCGAGGGCCGAAGGCCCGAGCCACGCCGTGACTTGGATAAGGGCAAGTGAAGCGAGAAAACTTGCCTTTGAAAGTAAATTGGCAGTACAACGCAGCGGGGACAAAACGTATGAAGGGCGAGCCATGAAAGTCGCCAATCTGTTTTATTCATTTCTATCAGAGCGCGTAGTGTAATTCGAGAGAGGTCTTATGGAGACGCCCCACCCGCCGCCACGCTTCTGTAAGGGTGTACCGTATAGCCTACTTTAACCGAAGCAAAAATATCAGGCCTTGGCTATTGAACAAAACCCTACTGAACTGGAACGTTAATAACATCTCAAACAAAAAATAACATTTTTTTCTTAAAAGATAAAGTAATTCATATCGCATGCTTTACTGAAACGCAACTCAATGCAAAAAGACACTTGACGTACCAGGTTACAACGTAATAAAAAAGACAAGAGTAAATCAAAAAGTGGAGTAGTACTTATACTCGTGAAAAATTAATTTCTTATATGCAAACTGACACAGCTCACACCCCAGGGTTAGATACAATCGCTATTATAATCTCCATAAATAAAAGAATCACAACCGTAATATCAGCATATAAACCACCTCACATTAAAATGAAAAACACCAACATAACTTCCTTTCTTCAACAGAACATTCCAATGATGATATTAGGAGATTTAAACGAAAAACATATAAATTGGGGTTGCAGAGTTTCCATCAATGCAGGTTGTCAACTACTCAAGATAATTTCAGACTTAACCTTGAACATACGAACCAACTCACTTCCCACACGACAGCAGCAAACATCCAGGTATATTAGACATATCAATTACTAACTTAAGCACAGTATATCATTCAACCCCAATATTCGAGTGGGATTCAGACCATCTTCCAGCATTAATAACCACCAAAGTAGCATTTCCCCCACGTGCTCCAACTCAGAGACTAACCCAAAGCAAAAATTTGGAATCATTTAATCCCTTTTTAAATTTTGGACAATCACAAAAGACACTTCCAAAAACTTTTATATAATAATTTTATTTATTTTTATACTATTCTTACGACGTTTCGAAGACTGTTCTGTATCCCAAATCAGGTGCAATGGAAAATTTAATTATATCTACAAATTTAATTATATCTACAAATTTTGCCGTCAATCAATTTTTCGGTACCAAGGACCCACAAAACATTGATTCTGGCGGTACCACGTGTTATAGGATTTTTTCTATATTTAGCAACTGGATTTATCTTTTTTTTCTTACCAGGGCCCGGCAATAAGTTTTTATGTAAAAATTTCGCCGTTTTTCGGCGCACGAAATACGTTAATAAGTGCTGTGTGCCATCTTAGTGTTCCATCTGGACAAATGCTGCACCATCCAACGTAAACAAAATACTCGTACAAGTAGTCCGGAACATATTCCTCAGAATAGTCACTAACGCCGCGTGGTTCATTTAAAATCAACAACTCCATAGAGAACTAAACATTAACTCAATCACCAAATATCACGCCTATCCAACAACTTGTCCTAATTCCTTGTGTTATCCAAGAATTGACATGAAACATTTAATCTTCTTTTCTGAAGAGGAGAGTAAGTGTTAAAATGAAATGAAAGCGCCGAGAAAAAAATTGAGGCGTCCGGTGAGAGGCAGCGGAAAAAATCAAAAAAATCGACTTTTTGTCACATTCTATATCTTCTTTTCATCTTTCATTTGATCTATACATTCCATAAATGTATCAATCCTTTCTTATATTATATCGGTATTTTAAAATAGGTGACATGTCCAATTTCTATTTCCGTAAGAGAGGGAGTTAAGTCACATCCATGTGTGTCGTTGATAGTACCAACACCAGAACATCTTATATATTAAAGCTGTAAACAGGCCGACTTTAATGCCCCTTCTAATCGGCTCTCAGTGAAAGGTTTTTAAGAAATGAGATACAAAAAAGAGAAAAATAATCGGAGTGGAGGAAATTATATATTGAATATATCGCCGCTCTTCTCTATTAATTAAAAGCTATGAAAATTGTGTTGTTTACGGCTAGAATGAAAACCGGAAGAAGGTGCGCATCTTCCCAATTTCTTAAGTTCTTACTTCGATAACGTGTTGCGTTGTTAAAACGATTGTACTAAGTGTTACTACCGACGATATTACGATAAACGATAATTACCATTTTTTACCAGTATTTAATGAACTTTCTTTTATACTAGCTGGACCCATGAGATTGCATTGCACTGGAGAGCTGTAGAAAATTTACCACAGAAAAAACAGCATTTCCATGAATGTTCACATGATTTATATTTACCATGATCTTTACACGTATATACATGGATATTGTTTTGGTCACAAAGCAAATACTTTTTGTATCATAGTGACTGAACTGTTTAATGTCATCACTGAAGTTTTTATATAAAGGGACAAACATTTTGTTGTTTTCTTCAGATTACTAATCATGATTGGACAACGGAAAGTTCGTAAATGTTTGTTATTTTAAACTGACAGGTAAAATTTATTGATAGACATGTTGCTTAACGATATTGATTTGACAATAATATTTATGAAAGAGATATCAGGTATATGTTATATTATTTTGTTCTAAACTGAATTATTTGCATATGTGATTAATGTTCTGTAAGATGTTAGCTGATTAGTACTTAAATGGTAAGAAAGTTAGCTGATAGTACTTAAATGGTAAGTAAGCTGATAGTACTTAAATGGTAAGCACTATCAGTGCTTCATTTATAAAATTGTATGTCACGAAACGTCCCCCATGGATCGCTGTGATTTTGAAAAAACATTCTTCCAAATTTGGAGGTACTTTGTATGAAGCTCCAGGGACACTTCTCAGAAATGGCTCCAAATGTTTTCTTTCAATTTCTTGTAAGAGTAAAATACAGTTATAAATGGGATTTAGATCTGATTTGCAGTTAACTCTGAATTTTTAAAAATTGTAGAAGTTTGAAGTTTCTTCGCCTTTTTCCTACAACTACAAAATTGAAGATAGAGATTTTTCCTTCAAATGAAATGTGTTTTCCATACCTAGTTCTTATAATATGAACAATATGAAGTTTACAATTTTAAAAATAACAAAATTTTAACATAAACAAAATTTTCTCAAAAACGGCTCCAAATTTTTTCTTTAAACGTTTGATAGGGTTAGTGTTAATTTGAGTGCAGTTAGTGCAATTTTAATAATATTTCCTCTGCCACATGGGCAGGTTTCATATTCTCTGAATATTTGTCTATTAATTACAAATAATTATATCTAAAATATCTTCCTAAATATCAATTTATGAATAAACAAAACACAAGAGTGAAAGGAGGATTTCAGGCTTTTTGGACAAAATTTAGTGGGTAGCCTAACTGAGCTTGCGAAAGGGCTGGTAATGGGAAAGGTTTTCCGCAATGGGAAGGGTCGGCCATGCCACCTCCATATAGAACCTCCTTGGGTGTCGGTGTCTTGTAGTCGCAGGTGCACAGTTAGGAAGGTCCGCAGTTTTGCCGACTTCTACCCAACCGTCTGCGTAGAGAAGACCTATTCCAACCTTCAGATATGTTGATCTAAATTATTGTTTAAGTGTGTTCAGGCTTTCAGAATGTCGGCTTTGAGGGTGTAGAGACAAAAAAGTGTAGAACGAGAGGTACCCATGTCACGAATGCACTTTAATCGTTATAAAATTGGAAATAAATATACGAAAACTCTGATAAGAGTAACAAGCACCTAGCTTAATGTTTTTATAAGTGATTGAAGATAATTAGATAAGATATTTTCATTTGTTTAAGATTGATGTTTATTCGATAAATTAAAAACCATGATTCGACGCAGGAATGAGATCCACAATCGGATTCGCATTTCTGGCTTCACATTCGGGTCCAGAGTGTCGATAAACATAGAAAAACATGTCTTTAGGTCTGAAAACATCCCTCAAAACAAACAAAAAATACAATTTCACGGTGGTTCGCAATTTGAAATTGAAAAAAAACTAGAAGGTTGTGGCGCAATTGAAGCTTCAGATGACGTTTGTGAAGAAATTCAGTGCGTCGATAGACCTAGAGAAACTTGTGTCACGTCTTTGGGTCCAACCACTTTTTTTATTTCCTGTGCCAGTGTTATTGCTTTAAGATTTAAGTACACATCATTATTTCTAACGTGCAATTTTTGGCTGAACTCTACTTGTGAACAAAACGCAAATGACTCAAACTAAACGTAACAAACTTCTAAGATATAAAGGGGGTAGACAATAGATATTTTTGTTCAGTGAATATGTTGTAGTAAAATGTCATATAACTAAGTCACTTATTTGGTATTCTTGGTGCAGATTGCGAGGCAACTCCTCACTGTAAACGGCAAGTGCACAAGGTCTCTTTTACTGCGTCAGAAAACACTAGCGCCTGGTGAGTTGCCAAACAATCACGAGCAAATGTCATGTAGAATTTCATTATATGAAATTTCCCACAACATGTTTATTTCCAAAAGCTGATCATGTACGATCTTTCCACTTACTTTAGAGGCTAATAACATTTTTTCCGAGACATTCCGCAAATTACTTTTTCAACCGGAGGGAGAGGCCTCGGCACCGCGCGGCGTGGCTCAGGGCCTTCGGCTCAGCTGAATCTGTCGTTTGAACCGACTTTCTACGCGGGGTCCGGACTTCATTGATAATTGGTCGACGTGTGCTACATCTACGCAAAATGTCAATAAAATGGAACTGGAGTAAAGACAGACAATTAAGAAGAACTAAGAAAATTCCTCTTAGTAATAATAAGAGAGTGCGGGCCTGATTTCTTTTACGTTTCTACATTGGCTCCATAGCTTTTATAAGCCCTACACTTTTGTCATGTGTCCTTTATGACCGAACGAACCTCCCGCAAAATTCTTAGTATGATCAGTGCAACAAAGGTGGTACCTTGATATCAAATGTATTTTAGAGCTTGGAGAGTAATGTTTTTATAGTTCTGTGATTTCTTTCACTAATGTTGGGAAGGAAATGTTTGAACATTTCTCTTCTTCCGCTGATTTTTGGTATCAATGTGCTAGTTTGGTTTTCACTTATCTACTCTACGGCTATCTTAACTCAAAAATCCCTAGCTAGTTTGCATGTTTATTTATTCATTTATTTCACATGAAAAACATAAAAACTTGTGTAACGTTCAATTGGGGTTGCTTGGCAGAGTTTCAACCAGTCCCATTCTCGATCTGTCTACTTCTGGAACAAAATAAAACAATATTGCTGATATTTTTAATCACGTATACGTACGTATAGCCGGAGTAATATATGTAGTATAGAGAACGTTAAGTGATGCTGTGAAAAATGGATTTCAAGATTTCAATGAAAATACAAGTATTGGGATCCCCTGATACCGAAAAAGTGTTGTTTTTTTTTCTTTTCAAAACGTCCGTTCACCTGTCTGTCCGTCCGTCCGTCCGTCTTTCTCTCTCTGTGAACACCACTAGCGCCTAAACCATACGTAATATTTTCCAAAATTGATATTCCCAGGTCGATCTGGCCCGACTCGAAGCGCTGCGATTTTAAAAAACATTCTTTGAAATTTCGGGGTACTTTACTGGACGCCTCTGGGAGGGACATTTTAAAAGTTTTCTCAAAAATTGCTTCAATATTTTTCTTTAAATTTCTTGTAAGAATAGAACAAAATACAGTTATGAAAGTGGCATAAATCCGATTTTAACAGTTAACTCTGAGTTTTCGAAAAATTGCAAAAGTTTTGAATTTTTGGCGGATTCCTACAACTACAAATTTGAAGATTGAGATTTTTCCTTCAAATTAAATTTCTTTGCCATATTTAGTTTTCTCAATAAGGTCATGTACACTTTTTTAAACTTTTACTAGTTTTCGCGCAATATGAACAATTAAAAAATATCATAACAAGATTAAGGGAAGTTCCCTCTATACACAAATCACTTCCAATATATATATATATATATATATATATATATATATATATATATATATATGATCTCAGGTAGCAGGATCTTTCGGGTGTGAGAAAATGTACCCAAGACACAAAAGGTAGGTAAAATTAGTGCGTATATTTTTAAAACAATTTGTCACGCATTACAAAGCACTGAGATAATCACAGAACATATTCAAAAATCAAACAAATACGAAACAAATCCCCAAAAACTCTCTCTGGATTGATAAAATACAACCTGAACTAACAAATCTACAATGCTCCCAGCACTGCGCACGGTCGCTACCAAATACTATGTTAGCAAACATTTGCGAATTGGCAAGTGAAATTTTCTTTACTCCTCCTTTTAAAATAGAACATAATTTAAATTTAACTTACTTCCAAAATTTAAAATGAATTTTACTAGACTTAGTATAACATTCAACAATTCCCTACGAACACTGCGTCTAACATTTAAATAATTACAACCCTTCTTTCAGCGAATAATTAGGATATGAAATATATTACATAGACCGCAAGTTATTCACTGATCTATTTTTGTTCTATCTGTTCGTTAGAGTTTCTGCTTTGATATTCAGATTTCCGTAAATCTCTGTCTAATGATCACAACGATTGCCCGCTTCCCGCGTCGCCGGCCCCAAGTCTCGTTACAATGATTAATTTTACCTTGCTCTTCGTTCACACGGCGCCGCCTTCTACCTCCGCTCGGAACGTCCGCTCCGTGAGCTCACGACCTTGGCCTACTTCAGGCCATGCCGTCGCCTCGCTCCTCTGCAAACCGACTATCTGCGATGCGGTTGAAGCGCCATCTTCTTTCGCCCTCCTCCAGATCCTAGTCGAATCTGCTCCCGACTTGTTTCCTGATACGCCCGGGACCGGAACAGAATAATCGCCTCTTCTTATCGCTTCCCCGCTTTTCGTTGTGCGGCACGCCGACGCGTTTTGTAAAGTTCTTATGCGTGTTTAACTAAATGGCGTATTTCGTCCCAGGTGTTCTCTATAGTACACGCCCACTCGTGCAGCCAATTTCAACAGTTCTCCTACCGTGTCACAGCGACTCAAAGGTTCATTTTCGCCTCGTACTTGTTACTTTACGAATCTCAGTCTATATTTCGGCCAATAATATTCACGGTTCTAATCAGTAGATTACCTACTCTTCTAACTACTTTCTTCCGCGAACAAATACTTTCTTCTATACTTTCGCCTAGATGGCGTCTATCACTTCTCACTCAGCTAACCGCGAACGCACAACCCCGACCTGACTTTCTTGACTTGACTTTCTCAAGAAGAAGGAGGGGTCAGCAGCCCGGCCTCTCCTTGAGGGGTTACACGGCGTCACAACCCCTACTGACTGACCCCTCGCGCTCGCCATAAATTGTAAATCCGGCAGCTGAGCTGCGGGCTGCAGATACTGGAATCATGAGGCAAGTAACATGCCGTGGAGAAATTGTCTGTATTTTTGATTTCCGAGACATTTAATGTGTTTTTTTTATTTTTTAAATGGAACTATAATATTTTTTTCTCGCACTTACTAACGTAAGAAGAAAAAGTATTGTAATCGTGAGCCGGAAAACGGCGAATTGTCGACACAAAAACTTTTGTTTTACGTGCTCTGGTAAGGAAAAAATTGATAAATTCTGTTTCTAAATTTAGAAAAAAATCCTCTATCACGTGGTGTAGCCAGAATCCATGTTTTGTGGAATCCTTCATACCAAAAAATCGATTGACGTCAAAACGTCTATCTGACCGTCCGTCTGTGCACAACGCTAGCGCATTGAACCTGATTTTCCTCACCTGATTTTCACCAAAATTGATATTTCCCAATGGTTCAAGCTGATGTCGCGACCCCTGGGATTTGAAACCGATATTTTATTTTTGGAGGTACTTTACAAAAAGCTCTCGGACATTTTCAAAATGTTCTAACAAATGTCTCCAAATTTTTTTATTACATTTTGTTATTGAATAGTGCAAAGAACGTTTAAGAGAATAGTGCAGGTCTCATTTTCGTTGACACACGGATGTTTCGAAATTTGTAAAAATTATTTTTAAAACTTCAAAATTGGAGATAGAGATGTTTGTCTCAGACAAAGTCTGTTGTACAAAATCATATCCTCAAAAAGGTTAACTACAATTTTTTGACAAAAACAGTAGTGTTTGTGTATTTTGCGATTGAAATTTACAAAACAAATTCAAAACCCCGCTCCAATTTTTTTCTTTAAATTTCGTCCGCATATGTAATAAGGAACTGTAAGAAATATGGCGCAAGTCTCATTTTCGGAGATTTGCTCGTTTTCTTAGGAAAATTACAAAAAAACATTTCAAAATTACAAAATTGAAGATATAGATTTTTGCCTCAGACAAAGTCTATTGAAAAAAATAAGTTCTTTAAAAGAAGATCATGTATAGTTGCAATTTTGAATTTTTTGAACAAACTAGTAGTTTTGGGGTAATTTAGCCTGGTATGAAAATTACATAATCTGATAGGAATTGCAATCGTTCTTTTGTAAGAAAATTGCACAGAGATAAATGACCGTCCTAATTTTACGGAGCATTCAACCTTGTGTTCTTTCTGTGATTGTAAAATGTTCCAACAATATCAGAAAAATCTCCTCCATTTAAAGGTTGATCGTTTTTTACAGTACTATCCGCTCGTGAGCTAGCAAACTTAAATCGGAGCTGAAGGTGCTGTATAAAAGGAGTGACTTGCGCTATACAGAAGAAAGTTTACCAGTTTTGGAAGTGTAAGTGAATAATAACCTATTGGATGTATTTTCCGGATCTGCTAAACTATCAAAAGTAATCTGTTCAACTCTAATGACAATCCGAGAGAACTTTCACCACTTTGAAAATATTAAAGACATTTTTAAGAAATACCACGTCGGAAGAGAGATTGAATGAACTTTGTATCTAAAAACAGAAGACTAAATTTAATTTATAGATCCTGTGTTTAGCTTGTCTTCATGGGAAATAATTAGATTGTATATATTACTTATGAGACAAACATTCCAAATTTCACAATCTTTCAAATGCCTACCTTTATTTGATCCTGTCATTTTGTGTACTCTCTCTTTTACCTAATCCCAGAACCGCCACTGGTGAAAGCTAGCCCAAATATTACGTTGGTCACTAAATCAACTGTTTTCATCTGCAACCTCGGCTAACAAGTCGTGTCTCAATTGTATTGCAAAATTGGCATCAGATGTTCATTAAAACTTGCCAGGTAAAAGATATTGAAAATACGTTTCATCAAAAATTTAACATGAAAATCGTTTAGGATAACAAGTAATATTGTAAGCTCGAGACTTGAATAATGAAATTCAATCATCAAAATTTGAATTCAGCACAGGAAAGTGCAAACAATTTTTAAAAAATATGATAAAAAAGTTCAATATTTATATATATTTTATATAACCATATATTTGACCAATTAATGCATTGAAAAATTAATAGTTACATTTTATTAAACTCTGGTTACCTTGGCGTTGAAAGTTCCTCCATTCCGTGAATAAAAAAATTTTGAGACTGTTTTGAGAGGCGGGATTTCGGAACTTTTATTGGAGGGGGGCAAAGGGTCCCCCGCGTAAGATGGTAAAATGTTCCCCTAAACCAAATGGAATATTAGTAGTTACAAAATAATTCTAATATAAACATAATATTTTTGAGAAATTGCATGGCCCCTGTCCCACCACCCACACCCCTCTACAGCCATAAATATGTTGTTTTTTTTTTTCGTCAACTTAACACTATTTTATATTACTGAAAAAAATATGAAAAATAACAAAAACAATTTTTACCATCGGAAAACTTGTTTTGATATTTTCTCAGGGTCATTTTCAAATGCAAAGTTTGAAAAAAAGTTTTAAAAATATTTACTGTCTTAGAACCCAAAAACAGTCTTAAAAGTATCTCAAACATTCTTCTAAAAAGCCTAAAGGTAATTTTTTTCACAAATTTTTGATTGCTGAGCTGTAGTTAAAAATAAAAACCATTTTAAATCACATAAACAATGAAAATGGCTGACTCTGCTGTGCATTTATTTGAGCGTTTATTATACATTTGTAATAAAAATTGTTCTGTTGTTCAAAAAACCATGAAAATGTTTTGACAATGGTACCGACATAAAGATTAAATAACCAAATCGCTTTTTAACAGAAAGTGAAATTACTCTAATATCATTGAATACAACAGAAATATTCAGTGGATAAAACCGGTTCGCTTTTTTCTCAGTGTAGACTTTGCATTAAACAAATATGCATTATAGTACGATTTAATTAGTCGTGCACTAGACGTAATTTGCAGTTTCATCCAGTCGGGAGCTTATATGTCGCTACTGTGATATCACTGTGGGGACGTTCAAGCACCCGATTGGATTAAACCATGAACAGCTGATTTACGCCAAGTGCATGGTTAAATAAATCCTAGTATCGTTACAATACATATTACATTGTAATGGAAAAACATACTTCCAAAAAATAATGTAATAAAACATAATAATCAACGTCATTCATATGTTCCACTTTCTCACTTTTTCAAAAATTGTAGACGCTCAGTTTTTGGTCTCTAAAACTGTTCACGCGAGAACTGACGGATCACAAAAAAAATGTCACTCGGTAATTTTTTTTGAATCCGTACCTTTCGCAGCGTTGACAAATTTCTTCTTTTGAAGGTCTATTAAAGAAAACATAGAAAACGTTTTACATGGAAAACGGTTTTAAGTTTTCCGTTTACCGACTACGCTTCCATAGATTACAAGTAAAGTTGGACAATATAATTTTTATGGCATCGCAACCAATGGTTACGTGGCCAATGGTTACCACGGACCCGTCATCCAGAGATCCCTACGTCTCACTCATCACCCGACTTCTCCCGGGGAAACCAGCAAAACTGAATCGGAAGACAAGGCAACAGTGGCTCTCCCTTACATCCGGGGCATAACAGACAGGATTGGCAAACTGCTGAAGAGCTTCCAGGTTAGAACCATTTTCAAAGCACACCACAAGCTCGGCCAAACTTTGGTGCGGGTTAAGGACCGGCTACCACCACTCCAAACAGCGGGAATGTACGCGGTACCTTGCAGCTGCTGTCGCAACTACAGCGGCGAGACCGGCAGAACGGTGGAGGAAAGGCTGTGTGAGCATATCCGCCACTTCAAACAGGGAAATATCGAACGCTCCGCTGTCGCCCAGCATGCCTGGGAAACCGGCATGATTTCGTTTTCGAAGACACCAGGGTGCTCGCCAAAGAAGACCGATGGTGGCCCAGACGCGTCAAGGAAGCGATGGAGATCGCCAGACACACTAATAATATTAACGGCGACGCAGGGATGCGCCTTCACGATGCTTGGAAGCCGTTACGTCGGGCACGAGACCTGGTCCTCACCGAACCGGACCGCTTCACGCCGTCCGACTCCAGGCCGCGCCATGCGGGCCAATCGCGGACCCCCTCTCGCCGTCCGATCCCGAACCACTCCGACCCGCCTGACGGACCGTTCCGCGCCGTCCGATCACGCGACACCCGATTTTGACTCCCCCGCGCTGCTAACAGGCGGCCTCCGATTGGCAGTTGCTTCAGCCAATAGTACTTGGCCCGAACATGAATAAACACACGAGCGCTGACCATCACGGCGCATACCCGAAAAAGCCCGGGGAAAAAAACGAAAAAGCCCGTGTCCTACAGGCCCATTAGTCTATTAAACACAGTCGGGAAGCTTTGTGACAAACTAATGCAAAACAGAATCTTCAAATTGGTTACAGAAAATGCACTACTAAATAAGGAGCAGTTCGGCTTTCGCTCAGGACACAGCACAACGCATCAGCTTGTGCGAATCACGGACCGCATAAGGCGCAACTTCAATGAGCGCCGATTTACAGGTGGAGTTTTCCTCGATGTCGCCAGCGCCTTTGATAAGGTCTGGCACGTTGGCCTCCTTTACAAACTCCATTCCATGAACTTTCCTGCATACCTTGTGCACCTTATCCACTCATACCTAGCAAACAGAACGTTTCAAGTGACGCCTCTGAATTCCAAATCTACCCGCCGCGCCGTACGGGCCGGAGTGCCGCAAGGGAGCGTGATTGCTCCTACGCTCTTCAGCCTTTACGTGCGTGATATTC